AGCCGCCACCCCCCCTCCGACTCGAGGCGCCGGCCGCCCCCGAAATGAGGACCCCGCCGGCGAGCGAGGCCACCCCCGAGGGCACCCCGCAGCCGGCGGGCGGCAGGCTCCGCTTCCTCAACGGCTGCGTGCCCCTCTCGCATCAGGTGGCCGGGCACATGTACGGGAAGGACAAAGTGGGTAAGTGGGGGTGGCACGGGGCTCGGCGCTCCCCTTCCGCCTCCGGGAGCCCCCCGGCCGGCGGAGGCGGACCGGAGCTCCCGGGCCGGCCTGGACGCGCCCCCCGAGTCTGCACGCGCACCCCCCCGGCCTCTTCCGCCCTCCCCCGGAGCCTCGCCGCCAGGACACCAGGGGCTCGGAGAGTGGGGCGATTTCTAGGGTGTGGGGCGTCGGGGGGGCCGGGAGCGGCGTTCCTGGGCTCCAGCACCCCCAGGGAGGCTGGGTGTTGATAGGAGACGGCGTTGTGAGTGAAAATAAGGAACTTCATTTTTACTGGACGGGGAAGTAAATTCTCCCTCGAGCACAAGGTCTGTTTATTATAGGCGAGTAGCTATTGCAAAAGAAAAGGAATGAAATGCAGATGATGCTCCTCCAGTGCTTCTCTGCTGGGTTCAGCTGCATGGTTGGAGGAGAAGAAAAAAAGAGGGGGAGTGTTCTGGGAGGGTGGGTAAAGCTTGTCTCGGTTTCTCCGGGATTTCTCCCTGTCCCCTGAGGTTTTTCAGGTGTCTCCTTGATTTCTCGGGGAGGCGTGGTTTTTCAGGAGTGCAGAAACTCAGATTCGAGGTGGGAAATAGAGACATCTGCCTGTTGTACTAGATTGGTACAGAGATTAAAATATTCACTTACTCATTTTATAGGATTGTATCATGGCCTCTGTAAGACATTTTCTGAGTTCTCAACTTTTAAAGCCTGTCTCAGGTTAGGACTGTAATTCACCTAGCTTACTCACAGGGGTTCCCCGGGCCATGATTACTTGGGGAATCTGATGGGTGAGCATGTGAGTATTTTGGGTCTATGACCCGGAAGAGCCACTGGAGACAATTTGGTTTACGCTGGTAAAATTGCGTGTTTAGGCTTGTAAGATAATACTGATATTTTTAGGCGAGGTAACTGAGACCCAGCCTGGTTAAGTGATAAGCCTTAAGTCTCACTGCCACTGTGTGTTAGAACCGTGAAACCAAAGGGTTCTTCCTAGGAGACCTGTTTTTTCCAGCATGCGTTGTACTTGGGAAACAACTCAAACAAGGCTTTTTGAAAATGGATGAGTTTGAATGTATATTATTTCTCAAAGAACATTTCCCACTACGTTTATATTTACCTACCTGCTTTTCTCTTGTTAAAAATTGGGTGTTAATATTATTGTCATCTAGATCGTTTGTGTGCCTCTCCCCCCATTAAATTGTGAATTCCTTGAGGTTAGAGACCAAATCCATTTATCCCCATAGCCTTGTGCACAGACTAGGACTCAATTACACTTAGGAAACGTTGGGAGAGTGAAAACTGACAGTTCTTTTGGTACACAGAGGTAAAGTAACAGTGGTCTCCAGCTGCTCAGCATAGGCATTTCCTCCTGTGTGTCACTATCTGGTAATGAGAATTTGAGAGTATTTATCTGGTTACTGTTAATAGAGGAATGCCTCATGATTTATATTAATACATTGTGATGATAATGTTCCTAATAATATTTTAGATTCCTGAAAAACTAAATGTTTTCCTAAGGGTCTTTAGAGATTGACTTATAGGATTGTCATTTAAGAGTGTAACCACTGCCTATCACTAATTACCAGTATACTCTGAATGTGACATAAAACTACATTGCAAACAGTAGCTATAGTCCTTAATTTTATTTATTGTTGCATTCAATTGAAAAACCTTTTTGGTTTTTCAATTTCACAAGATTCTTTTGATTAGAGACTGTCTTTGTGTCACCAGCTTATGATACCTCCAACATGCTGTGCTAACACCCTAATAAATACTTGTTGAGTTTGATTCTCAGGTGTTTATACAGTCCTGTTTATGTTGTTAGTAAAAGGATACCTGAATGATTATAATCTTCCCCTTTTCATAAAATGGATAACAAGATGGTCAGTAATTCAAAGTTCAACAATTTATTATGTCTCTCTCCTATCATAAATCACATATAGTTTTAAGTGTATCGTTTAGATCATACTTTGGTCTGTCAATTGCAGTAATTTTCAGGATAAGCTTTGTTAAGGACATCATGTGGATATTTGTTTTTGTTTTGCCTTTTTTTAGTTAATTTTTGTTTCTGTCATTAAGTAACTAGGGTTTTTCAATTTAGGGTTGATATTTTACTTATTTCCAAAAAGTAGTTGTTGGATTTTTTAGTTTAAAAACTAAAACGTGGAATTTGATAGAACAAAGGTGCTTGAACAGAAAAATAGGTCTTGCTGTATATCTAAGTAACAAGAATATGTTAATAGTTTTGATATCAGAGTTATATTTTATGTTCGTTGCTGGAATTATATTTCATCAAAGTATATTTAAATCGTGATTCTAAAAATACAAAGTATTTGGCTTCTTAACATGTAAAAATAGTATACATGTTTGTTTAGGAAAAAAATTCAAACTGTTTAAGTAGTGCCCTTTCCCCTACTCATTCTCCCAGGGGCAATCACTGGTAATTTCCTGTCCATCCTTTCAGTTTTTTGTTTCTGCACATACATAAACACATTAACACAATTCTAATTTTTTTACACAAGTCTATCAGCAACTTTTCTTATTCTGTATTATACCATGTAATATACCCATATTTTTGTACTTAACAACTTACTTCAGTTTTCTAAAAAACTGTTGTATTCAGCAGTGTGGATTTGTCACAATTGGGAGTTTTAGATCTTTTTTTTTTTTGCTATTGTCCATAATGTATATATTAAACAGTCTTGTACATTAAATATACCTTGCACGTTGTGTAACTATTTCTATAGAAAGCTTTTACAAAAGTATAACAGCTATCAAATTTCCAAAACTCACCACAGTTAGCATAAAGTTATTTTTCTGTTTTAATATTTAAAATGTATCATTCATTTATTTCAAAAGTCCTTAAAGCTTTAAACAGATAGTTGAAATCTAGTATTTGTATCTTGATCCAGTTTAGGATGTAGAAATGAGGTAGTCTATAAGGGGAAACAAGGAATTAAACCGATACTTGTTATTGTGGAGGAGATTCACACCTATTTTGGCTTACTGGTCTATTCTTACTAGATATCATCTGAAGCTAATTGACTTAAAATAATTTCAAGCTTACAGAAAAAGTTGCAAGAACAATAGAGAGACCTTCTCTTACTATTTTGCCAAATTTGTTTTACTATTTCTTTTTCTGCATATTATTTTTTCTGAACTGTTTATAAGTTGCATATATCATGCCACTTTTACATGGCAATACTTCAGTGTGTATTTCTTAAGAACAAGGGGTAACACATTTATAAAATAGGGGAAATTTAGCAATGATACAGTACTTTAATCTATAGTACATATTCTGATTTTTGTCAGTGTTCCAGTACTGCAATGTCTTTTATTATACTTATTTTTTTCAGTATGTGATTCAGTCCAGAATCATTTATTGCATTTAGTTGTTATGTCTCTAAGACTCCTTTCATCTGTAATATATCCTCAGCCTTTCTCTTTTATGACACTGTCATTTTAAAGAGTACAGGCCAACTATTTTATAAAATTTTTTTCTTTGATTTGAGTTTGATATTTACTTTTTTTTTTTTCTGAGTTGGAGTCTCACTCTGTCACCCAGACTGGAGTGCAGTGGCCGCTCCCGGCCACCACAGCCTCGACCTGCTGGGCTCCGGCGATCCTTCCGCCTCTCCTTCTGCCTCAGCCTTCCGAGTAGCCGGAATTACAGGCATGTGCTACCACGCCCAGCTGATTTTTTGATTTATTGTAGAGATGAGGTCTCGCTGCCCAGGCAGGTCTCGAACCCGCGGGCTCAGGCAATCCACTCGCCTCAGCCTCCCAAAGGCGCAGGATTACAGGCTGAGCCACTGAGCCGGCTTTTTTTTTTTTTTTGAGTTGGAGTCTCTGTCGTCCAGACTGGAGTGCAGTGGCCGCTCCCGGCCACTGCAGCCTTGACCTGCTGTGCTCCGGCAATCCTTCCGCCTCAGTCTTCCAAGTAGCTGGAACTACAAGCGCGCGCTACCACGCCTGGCTAATTTTTGATTTATTGTAGAGATGAGGTCTCGCCAAATTGCCCAGGAGGGTCTCGAACCTGCGGGCTCAGGCAATCCACTCATCCCAGCCTCCCAAGGCGTGGGATTATAGGCTGAGCCACCGAGCCTGGCTGATAGTTACTTTTGATGAGATTCAGGTGATGCATTTCTAGCTGGAATATTGTGTAAGTTTGAACTTTTTAAGACATCACATCTGAAGGCGACGTGTCTGACTGCTCCTTATTAGTGGTATTAATTCTGATATTCTGGTCTAAATGTGGTCTAGCTTTTTCAGTACATAATTAATATTTTCCCTTCTGTAATTAATAAGGTATCTGTGGGGAGACACTTTACAATCATGCAGATACTTAGATTCTCATCTAACTTTACTCTTAGATTTGACATCTGTTGATTCTTGCCTGAAGCAGTCTTTGTTCTGATAGTTGCAAAATTGTGATTTCCCCCCCAATTCTACCACTCTTTCTATTTCAACAGCCAGTCAGCATTCTGAGAAATAGCCCTCTCTTTACTCCTATGTATGTGTGTCCTTGTTTATAATTAGTTTGAATCATGATTCCTGTTTTATATGTGTCATAGCCTGTGATAGAACTTATTTTGCTGCTCAAAAAAAAAAATTTCTTTTTTTTTTTTTGGTCGTCACGTCTCACTCTTGCCCAGGCTGGAGTGCCATGGCACAATCATGACTCACCGCAGACTCAACTAACCTCCAGGACTCAGGCAGTTCTTCTGCTTCAGCCTCCCAAGTAGCTGGGACTTCAGGTGTGCCATCATACCTGGCTAATTTCTTAATTTTTTCTAGAGATGAGATCTAGCTAGGTTGCTTAGGCTGATTTTAAGCTCCTGGGCTCAAGCAGTCCTCCTGCTTTAGCCTTCTGATATGCTGGGATTAAAAGCTTGAGCCACTGCGCCAGCCCTTTGCTGCTGAAATTATTCTATGTTTGACCACTGGGAGCACTTCTTTTCTGTCTTTATAAGTAATTT